TATTTCCAATCAAATACAAAATGTTAAAATTACACCAGTTAATTTCCTGCAACTTTATCAAGCCTAGACAGTCTAAACAGTAGAACTTTGAGTATTGGATTGGTTGCATTCACTGCATTAAGAGTATAAATTATATCAATATGATTATCTCATATAATATGTACTAAGTACTTATTTTTAAAAACAACCAAACAATATAATATTGTCCATCCATATCATTATTACAGCTTCGATTGGTTTCATTTTGCAGGACAAAGCGTATAATATTGTTTTAGTTAATTTTATTGATTCAGGTGCACCTAGGTTAGTATCTACAGATATTATATATATATATATATATATATATATAGCATGTACCTAGTTACCCTAGTGTAATCGAATCTATATTATGGCTATTATAATATTGACCAAAAAATGGCACGATACAGGTGGTACCGCACAAATTCATCGAATTCCGTAACCTGCAGTGTATATTTAGTATTTAGTTAATAAATGTGTAATACATATTAATAACAACTGACTTACATTGAAAAAAAATTACAATTAAATAAATAGTACCTATTGGTTTTTTATTTTAATAAGATATAGATTTAGACGTTTTTCGTAGACATTAATGAAAGTCATCTATTACATATTGTGGTTTTTGATAACTGATAAGTCGATCATAGTTGTGTAAAATATATAGTGATACCTGGGCTGATTATTTATAATGACATTTTTCGATAAGAATGGACAATTTGATAAACCTTGTATTTGGACCGTTTGGTAATGGGCTTTCGGTATTACCTTCGTCTTTATGATAATCCACGCTGAAAAGTCCGCTCGCCAAAAAGTCCTATAAGACCATCCAGGGAGTCACTCAAATACATTAAAAAAATTCATAAAAATGAGTCCAGCTGTTTAGGAGGAGTTCAAATAGGTACACACCATCAACAGAAGAATTATATATATGTAAAGATTACTTGAGATTAACTACTATTAAGTAGGTAGGTGTAATCATCGTAATTTGTTTAACTAGGTACAATACAGACTGTTAATTGTTATACATTCAATAATCATTATGAAATACGTCTGTAATATTTATGTATTGCTTATTGAATTGTATTTTTATACAAAATATTAATATTCAACTACACACCTACTTAACCTACCTACTAACTTCCTTATATTATTTGAATGAGTAAATACTGATATCTCATTAATGGAGGGCTAGATATTTATAATTCCAGATTTTAATGGTAGGTAATTCAAAATGTTTACTTATATAGTGCTATAACTAGAGTTTCCTTAGACTGATCGTAATAAGCAAGTTGTATTTGAAATTTTAAAATAATTTTTGTCTGTAACATTATAATAATTGAATGTAAACTATCAGAATAAACTATACGTTCAGATCAATAAAGGCATTATGAAAACATAATATTATTATATATAATATAATATATAATACATAATACTATTATATATTCAATTGTTATAACAATTACCTATACAATACATTTTAAATTATTTTATAGTTAATAATTAACCCTTATATATTAACTAAAAATAAAATTTTAATTTTCTCTACAAGATTTCTCCTGTATCATTATTATTATTTTTAAATAGTCAGTTTATACTTTATTCATAATGGAGCTCTTGAATTGAGTGTTGTCTATACGTGTATTATAAGTATTATATATTATGTAATATGTATAGCCCGATTTATGGGTTATAATTATACTATAAAAAGAAAAAAATACATATCATAATATTAGCATGAGGAACATTTCATAACATAGAAGGTTATAGGTAGATATCTCTAAATGCATTCCACTAAACACATTCCTTATTAGAATATAAGTTGTTTTTAATGTATTATTAAGATAGGTATTGTTTTTAAATTACCCAAGTAAATATATTATGTATAAGTAAAATATAATATAATATACATTATTAAGCAATTTTTTTATGTTTTTATTATTGTACTAGGTGTATAATTTTGATTGAACTTTTTTCTAACATAAAACGCGCGATATGCTTAAAAAGTTAAATTACGAAATATATTATGACGATTAACAACTTATCAAAATATATTGTTATTACAAGATTAAAATGAAAAATATATAGACTGAAGTTCAACGTTCTTATTTTTCTGAAGTTATGAGACTTTAGTTATACCATGACGTATTTAACGCGAATGTACCAGAGTGTTAGACATTGTTACCCAATTATCTGGCAAGTAAACTTACTCGTAATACTATAAATAATAAGTATAATAAAATTCATGAGTGAAACATAATTTTATTATGCGTTAATTTGATGCATAATATAATAATTATGTAAATATGTAAATGTTGGCACAAACCCGCAGCACAAGTAAATCATTATAATTGTATATAACTTTTTATTTACTGTGCATGATCTAAATAATTGTAATAATTATACCTACGCCATTATGGCATTATACCTAGGCGTGTTTAAGACTTTAGATGCAGCTCGAGATATATCTGAAACCTATCCATTTTATAGTTTTTATTTTAAGAAACTGTTGTAGGAAAATTATTTTTTTTTTTAAAACAATGTTTGCGAAATTTAATCACAACTGATTAATACTTCAAAAAAAAAGGGTGTTAATTTTTAGTGAGTTTTACACAACTCGTATAATATTTTAATAGTTTTAGAAATATTGTACTGGTGTCTGGTCGTATGTATAAGTCGTTTACACTTACAAAGTTTATTTAAGAACTTTGTAGTTCTCAATATATTTTAATATTATTTTGTTTATATAGAAAGCTTAGAGACTTTTCATTTGTAATGGGGGTCAAAGTATAATATGATATACGATAATTAGATAATTAGCTAATTTAAAATTTAAAATTTAAAATTTAAATTAATTATCGGTTGATACTTGATTGTAATAAGTAATAACTAATATTATACAATGTATAATAGGTTCCTACTTTTATGTGGTCTGGCCGATCATACATAGTAATCTATCTTAATCGTTGTGTAATATCAGTTATTATCGTATAATTTGGTCTCCAATACAAATTTAAAGTCATTTAACTTTCCATAGATACAGCGGCGATGTACCTATATTGTTCATATGTATAAACGATAATTACAAAATACAATTCCGTCATATATAGAAATGGTTTATATTTCTATATATGGTTATTTGATTATCTATAAAACATTTTAAAAGATGTGAAATTGAGTCAGATACTCAGATATAAGTACTATACATTTTAGATTACTAATACTTGCATAAATAATTGATTGACAAATTATTAGTGCCCAGTGAAGCAGTGTCACATCGTTGTATATATTATCCTTTCAAGTTTTAATATTACAGTTACTTACATATTATTTACCTATAGGTATTCATTTTTGATTGTACAGTTATTACTTATTCATTATTAGTATGCAAGTAAATATATATTTATAGATTTATAGGATATAGCAAGTAAAGTTACCATAATTCAAAATAAATTTAATGTTATTTATAATTGCAAGTGCTAAAGGATTTTCAGTGATTACAAAATGCAGTTTATAACTATGGTCTTATTAAATTTCATTAAATTAAAATTAAGAGCGAGTGTTAAGCTACTTATCATCAAAGGACAAATTAATATACATTAATCCTGAACTATTTATTTTATTATGTGGAAGAATTTAGTATTTGAACATGTGGTCTAAATGTATTCACAATTAATCACATATTAGGCTCCAGTAAGTACATATAGAATGTTATGAACTCAACCTAGAACTATAACTAAATTAAAAACTAAAGTATAACAGTTAAAATAATGACTCATTATAGTGTATTTAATAGTTTTTAAACAAATAATTAAAAACATATTTAGGTCATTTTGGAATCAACATAAAAATAATTCACTAAAAATTATATTTCGATACAATCAAATTTTATTTTGTATAATAAACATTTTGAGTTTAATTTTGTATTTCTTACCAGTACACTTTTCTGAGTATTTTGATACATAAAAGACAAATATTGAACGAGTAGTAAATTGGTAGTTATAACTTATGAGTACCTATTTAAATTTTGAGCGGAGATGGTTGTCAAACTTTGTGTGGGTTACAACACTCCACACATCTAAAATTGAAATACTAAAAACTAATTTAGATACCCAATATCTACTCATTTCTAAGTTCAATCAAAAAGTATTCTGATTCAGAATATAAAATTTAATTTTTATTTTATAATTAAAAAAATATAAAATTTAAAAATGGTAAGGATAAAAATATTTATTTTTCAAAAACGTTGCCTTATAGGTATTGACTTCAAACTACCTACGTAAAAAATATTTTCATGAACGTCAACACTTTTTGAGATAATGATTGACTAGGAAACACTATTATTTTCGTAGTTGTGTGCGTGAATTAAATTTTATATGGGACTAAGCCACTCACAATAATTTTCTGTATACATATTCATCCGAGGGGAAAGCGGTTTTCTCCAAATACATATGATGATAAAGCGGTAATAACATCGGTTACATAATGCAACACTGATTGTATACACATTGGTACACGATTTGAGAGTTACTTTTTCAAAAAAAAAAAAAAATTCTACTCCATTTATGAACTGTTCTGAGATATCGATTCCCACCAAGGTGGTGGTCTGTTTTGTACCGCATATCGAAGGGTGAGAGAGGGGAAAATAGAAAGGACAAGTGTCCGGCGTCCTCGTTTTCGTAGTGTATAGTCGTAGCGTACACACCAATCAAACCTCCGGCAAAGACGCCTTGTCCGATGTCAGTTACAATCTAGACACAACGCGATTCTGACTTGTCTTTCCATTTGAGAATTCGAATTTGTTTTGTGTATTTTTCTATTTTGTTTATTTTAATTCGTATACGAATAAATATAGATACGTACACGTGTCTATACATTGTATACACACACCACGCAATCGTAAATGTGTTCCGGGCGGTTTGTGCGTGAACAACAGTGACCGAGTGGCAGCACTCCCATTTGGATTTTGACAAATAAAAATGGTAATTTTATGTATAATAGTATTATTATAATATATACCCGAACGGTCAGCGATAAATATCCAACAATGTTTTTCGTCAAATAACTTAGGTACTTATGACAACTACAAAAAATAGTCATGTGCAAAGTATATATGTGATAATATTAATATCATCACATACTGACGTTTAAGTCTCCGAGTATATGAACCTCGCATAATATTTACTCCTGAGGGACATTATGTTGCATAAGTGTCTTATTACACTGTTTTATATTATAATATTCTGTGTATTATGCTGAAAAGTGAAAATTAACGCCACCGGTATGTGATAGGTATAGTGTTCCATAATTAAATAGAAAGCGGTTAATATATATCGTAGCATGGCACTCGAATGAATTGCTTTCTCGATCAGTTACCTAGTGCAGTATTTATGTGCCTATGCAACAATTAATTTTAATATAATACATTTTAAAACATTCGTATTCATAAAGGGTGTGGTCCTCTAACAACGATCACAATGTTTCGAAACCTCGTTAATGGTTAATATATTATTACAGTTTTCAATGTTAGTGTACAACAGGAATTGGACTATATGCTCGTGTATTCAATATTCTATTAAATTTGATAACGATTGTTAAAATTGACTTATAGTTGCATACGATTTACGGTGTACCTATTATAAAATATTTCCAGACTTAATCATAATGGAAAAAAATTTCGTAGTGGGTTATTTGACGAATTATTATTCGTTAAAATTATTATATAATTATCATTGTATTCATCGACCTGGTGGAGTGTATATTTTATTTTAAGTACTAGGAATCGAATTGCGTAAAGTGCATACGTGTTTCGTAAAGGTAAATGTGTTGGCAACATGACAGTTCAATCAACCGTCATTGTATATTGACAGGAAGTGCGTTTAATATGCTCGACGTGAGGTGCGGTCAGTAGCGCGAATATTATCGGACGTTATATTATGGACAAAAAAAATAACAAAAACAATTCCAATAACTATCTATTCATTGTTATATTGTAAAAACAAAATTAATAATAAATATACGTTTATACACAATATTGTTCGGAAGCTATACTATTAAATAAAATAGTGAGTGTTTTTATCTTGACGTTATTTAGCGTCCTGCTCCGAGAATGGTTAATAATCATGCCCAGTAGCGTACGCACGACTTTTCAATGGAGGGGGATGCTTGAAAATTAATAATTACGATTTGATTTTGATTTTGTCCAGTATAATAGTTTCAGACGTTTGGGCGAGGTATTTGAGAGTGCGTGTACAATTTTCAACTTCTAAACTTTTCTATATAGTAGCAAAAATGCTCTGATCATCAACTTCGATGGAGAATTTTGGTAGCGAATTCGATCTAGTTAATACTTTTGAAAGGTCAAAATTGAAAATTCTCGGTAGGTAGGTACTCTTTAAAACAATCGAAGGAAAAAAAATGAAAATTGCTTCACTCATATTCGTTTTTTCTATATTTTTCCTACAATGATAAATAGCTGGTATCATTGAATTCAATTTTAACACATCCATTACAGTGACCCACCTGACACCTTCAGCACAGCAGTCTGCAGAGCAGTACCCATTGTCCTTTTTGTTTATGTCGGATATAACTAATCCGTTAAGACGTATATACATTTTTCGCCTTGCTTGATAGTTGACTTTAGTTCAAACTTGATAAATATAATAATAATATGGTCAGTGGTGGTGGTGGGGGGGGGGGGGGAAGTTCAGTATGTAGCCTCATGGCATACCACCCTGATCATACCTTTCTACGCTTAATTTTCTAAAAGTCCGAAAACTAGCTTGCTGAACTAATAAATAATAATATAGATATAACACGTAAGTAGATGAGAAGCTGTAACCATTTTCATCACTGGACTATAGTAAAGTACCTAATAATAGTATAATACAATACAATGCTTCCTACTGAATATAACATATATTTTTTCGATTCATAGTACTATTATAATACCTAGCTATATATATGTAATATATATTATGTATTAATATACAGGTACTATTGTAATTATTATTATATCTATACTAATATATTATATAGGTACCTCAGTATGTATTATACTAAGAGATTGCGAGACGAAAAAAAACACTTGTTAGGTAATATTACATAGAAAATATTATGTAGATTTCTCGTAGCTATAGGTAATTAGTTGGTATATATATGTAGTTTTTCACGCGTGTTATATTATATTTTGTCGAAGGCGTCACCGTTTTATAATAATATTATATACTACGGCTAAAACAATATTATGCCAACAGCGTATAATTATCTCAATACGGCTATAAATTATGATAATTTATTTATTTAATTTTTTCATTTCTATCAATAGCACTTGTGTTGGCTGCGGTGGTTACTCGGAATAGCTATGAAGAGCTATATGAGACACATCGAGGGAGTAGTACCTAACTGTAGACACCCAAAAATACATCATACACATTTCTTATATTTTGTGATACTATTCGTGTAATTGCGTGTGCACATTTCACGTAATATATTTACATAGGTATAAAATATTGTTTGAGTTTTTGGATTTTGGAGGCCGGAGACCAATTTGTTGTGTGCAATTTTTTTATGGGAACACTATTTCGTAAGGCGAATTTCCATGAGACGTAAAGGTGATGAGAAGGAGGCGTACGTCTTGTCTACCGCCGTATAATATACATTTGTAACACACAAACTTGTAGATATATATATATATAATAAGTAATAACATAATGATTTTTAATTAAGTCACGTGGGGGCCGTAATTATTTTTCCTACTCTTATCGTGTGTCGCGTTGTTATTATTATCATTATATTATTATTATTATTATTCTCTTGCCCCCGAGAGAAAGGAGGTTGACACATTCACGTATCGGCCGCCGGTCTATCTGCAGCCTGTTGACTGTAGACCATGCGTCTAGAAGTTGCACAATTACTGTTATGTTAACACGTGCGTTAGAAAAATAAATGATAGGTACATTTAAAAAATTATAAAAAATGTATGTAGCCAGTATAATATTGTATTGTACACGTACTGCAGGACACCATAGGACTATAAGTACACCCACATCCTATAATACTACAATATTATTACATATTATATCGCTGCAGCAGCCACTGCGCAACACATCTGTAAAAACGAGTACCTATCGTATATGACGTTATTATATTATTATGTCGATTATACCTGTGTGTGGAGAATACAATATCGAAAAGAGAAAAATCAACAGATCCAAAGCGCTACTTGAACATTGTTCTTCCCACGTAGGTACGTGGCCAGTTTCGGGACCACGGTGTTATAATATTATTATTGTGTTGTATAATAATAAAACGCCCAAATCGTCACGGCGGTGGTACGCGTGCACCTCGTGTACCTGTACATGTATTATAGAGCCGATGACTATAATATGTAATAATAACAAAAACTACTATATAGGTAGATACTTCTATGTAAGTATACCTACCTACTGAATGCAATGCGTACACATATATTATTATGTACGCCTACACAGCTTACGCCAATATTACTATTCGCACTCAGTCCATTTACGTGGCGACCACTTAACCCAGTTGACAAGCGACCGACGAGGATATCTGGATATGCCAGTAACGATGTCATGACGTATTATAGCATACATCATGAGAGTGTGACAATTTTTTTTTTAACGATCGTCCTGTTGAGGGTGTGATCGATTGAAAATGTTTTCAGCCATAATATACGAAAACCCATATGTAGGTACCAGACGTCCAGTGGCGCAACCAGGGGGGGGGTTTGGGGGTTGTGACCCTCCCTGAAATTTTTCTGATGTTTTTACAAATTCTACGTAGGAAAAAAAATGTTTATCTTGCACACGCGAAACGGCTGATTGATATGAAATATTAATATTATTCGTATCCATAGACGATAGACATCATACTCAGTATAAGGTATTATGTTCATATCACGGTTGCAGTTAGTTTATGGTTGTAAATATATAACCGTGATTCGTTCGTATTATAATTGATAACAATGATATAACATGAATTCCGTGATATAACATGAGTTACGTTCAATTTCCTTGCAACTATGATTCTCGATAGTCGATCGTATAATACTTTTTTTGTGGTATCACTCATGGTATCACAATATGATGCCGGTGTGCGTGAAAAGATAAAATGTTTCAAATGTTTGAATGTTCTAAGACCGTGGTGGCGTGGTGCGTAATATAAATTACAATTTTGAATTTTGCAACGTTAAAAGTTATAAATCGTAGTAACTAAAAAGAAATAGAAAAAAATAGGAAATGCATTCTACCAATAATTAAAACTGTTATATTTTGTGGTAGACAGGGAATCGCACTTAGAGGTCATCGGGAAAATAAACCACTTATTAATCAAAATGACACAAGTACTGAATTGGCTGTTACTAATGATGATAATGACGGAAATTTCAGACAATTATTAAGGTTTAGAGTAGATTCTGGCGATAAAGATCTTGAAGATCATCCACAAAATAGTGCTAAACATGCACTATATGTTAGTTGGAAAATCCAAAATGAGATTCTCATGGTGTGTAACAATTTAATTCTAAAACAACTTGTAAAAGATATAAATAAATCTAAAGGGTTCACTGTATTAGCTGACGAAACAACTGATATATCAAACAAAGAACAGTTGACAATATGTGCGAGATACGTCCATACTGAGCAAAAAAAGATTCGAGAAGATTTTTTGCAGTTTGTAGAAGTCAAGGAGGTCACTGGACAAGCATCTATCTATAAATAGAAGTTAACCCGTTTAATTTTTAGTTTAAATATTTTACTCATAAACCTAACTTAATCTTACCCCCTTTCCCTACCAAACATCTGTCGAAAATGATTTCTTTTTTTCCAAATCTACTATCTACAACCCCCCCCGAAAACGAATTCTGGTTGCGCCACTGCAGACGTCATTGTCGGGTCGGACTCTGGGTGTTTAATAGATCTTTACAGAAGAATTAAAAATATTCTCCGCAGTAGGTACC